CCTGCGAGGGTTGGAGAGAGGTGGGAGATGTCTCTCCTGCCATGGCTGCAGGGAGAGAACTACAGGGAATGGCCTTGGGATAGGGAATTGCCCATGGAGGTGGTGGAGTCACCACCCCTGGAGGTGTGTCAGAGGTGTCTGATGTGGCCCTGGAGGATCTGGTTAGGGTTTGGGGGTCACAGCAGTGACAGGTTGCCCTTGATGCCCTTGGAGTTCTCCTCCAGCCTTGATGTTCCTCTGTTGGGTTGGAGTTTTGGTTGGGGAAACAAGACCCACCTGACTCAGAAACCATCCCAAGTGCAGCTTCAGGAAGAGACTGTGATCCAGAGGTGCCTCAAGCACTTCCAGCAGCTCCAAGGATCTTCCTGAGCATCCATGAGCCTCCTGTTCCCTCGGGCACTACCTGGTGGAGCCCCAGGAGCTGCTCCAAGGAGGATCTCCCACAACGTCCTTCCCAAGGTTCCTTCCTCCAGCTCAGACCATCCAGAGATGCCTTACAGCACCAACTCCTGGAGCTTCAAGCTGTGGGGCTGGTTTGGACACTCTGAAAGGCAGAGAGGACCTCCCACCTCCTGTCTGACCCCATTCCTTTCTCTCCTCAGGGTGCCCAAGGTCCCATGGGTCCCTCTGGTCCTGCTGGAGCTCGGGGGATGCCGGTGAGTGGTGCCAGGCCCAAGAGGAGACATCTGGCAGAGGTTCCTGAGGTGCTCTGGGTGGGATTCTACCACCTTCATCCTGACATGTCCATCTCTCCCTTTCCAGGGTCCCCAAGGGCCTCGTGGGGACAAGGGGGAGACAGGAGAGGCTGGAGAGAGAGGGTTGAAGGGTCACCGTGGCTTCACTGGGCTTCAAGGTCTTCCTGGACCACCTGTAAGTGTTGGGTTGGACACCCCAGAGCTGGACGTGACCACGGGGAGAGTCCCAAGGTCAGGTCCCCCAAGGCTTTGCATCACTCAACTCCACCTCTGGAGCTGTAACCACCATCGCCCCTTCCTTCCCAGGGTCCTTCTGGAGATCAAGGTGCTGCTGGGCCTGCAGGTCCTTCTGGTCCTAGGGTAAGCTGGATGAGAGAAGAAGTCCCCTCTGTCCTTGAGGTCTCCTAGGTCACCTCCTGATGGAAGGAGCTCATGGTTCCTTCCCTACCATGACCTGATCCCTCTTTTTGATGCCCTCCTAGGGTCCCCCTGGTCCTGTTGGCCCCTCTGGCAAAGATGGCTCCAATGGTATGCCAGGTCCTATTGGTCCTCCAGGACCTCGTGGACGGAGTGGAGAACCAGGTCCTGCGG